AGTGTAAACACGGCATTGGAGACTCGTGGCCAATTTTGTCCGTACTTGGAAACGCCATCTTTTGAGTAATTTGTCTTCAAGTGCACTCCAAGGAGCCGTCATTGTTTATTCAGATAAATAATTTGAGAGAAGAATGTGTAAGTGACGATCGACAATGGGTTTGTTATATAGACAATGTTTATTATAGAGAGTCTCTAACGGTTACAAAAAAATGTTACCATTTGATATTGGATTTTGGAGATGAATGTAAGTGATGACAATATGATGTTGGATTTGCTATATAGAGAGTGAGTCTAACGGTTATAAAAAAAAATGTTACCGTTTTTTTTAGTTTTCATTTTCCTTTTTTCCTTTGAAACATTTTCGTTGGCTGCAAGTTAATGTGCTAGGGTTTGAAACCAAAACCAATTTTTAGAAATGTTGAAATAGGGTCGTAAAGAAAAATTATTTCCTTCCCAATGCCAAAACCAATCTTTAGAGACAGTGAAGTGGCGTTGTAAAAGAAAATTATTTATTGTTCCTGGGATCCAAAACATATTGATTAATAGCTTCTCAAAACCGACCGATTTAAGATTTTGGTGATCCAATAATATGTGAAGGGAAGCTGTGCGTTGCCACTAAAAATAAATATGAGGAAAAAAATGGCCTCGCCCGGGTTCGAACCGGAGACCTTCAGTGTGTTAGACTGACGTGATAACCAACTACACCACGAGACCCTAGTGCTATGTACATCCAAAATTTAATAATTATTTATATCAGTCTACAGAAGTTGGTAACACCTACTCTACAAAGTGCACGTGATCTTGGTCTTTTGTTTTGTCTTATCCGAGGGAAGAATAAAGCAGTAAAACACGAAAGGTCACCACTTTCAATCTTTCTTTCCACTGTAATGGCGGCCACGAGAGTGATTACTGCAGCGGCGGCTGCAACCCAAACCACTTCGTGTTTCCTCGCCAAAAGAGCTTTCTTTTCACCGGCGAAGAAATCCTGCGGCGGCGGATTTAGAGGTCTCTGTTTCAATAGAAGAGATTTGGTGTTGAAATCAAAGAGACCCTTTTCGTGCAGTGCCATTTACAATCCTCAGGTTAAAGTTAAAGAAGAAGGTCAACCTGAATCCCTAGATTATCGGGTTTTCTTCCTCGATGGTTCCGGAAAGAAGGTACCTTTACTTCTCCTTCGTTTTGTGCCTATCTCTCTGTGTTAAAAAGTCAAAGCTTGGTTTCTCTGTTTTTGGTGGTTCTTTCACATTGTTAATTGGAATACTACTGTGGTTAGTTAGATTTGGTTACTTATAGACGCATTATAAATGAGAATGCAATCAATGTTACTAAAGATCTACATTGTGTTATTGCTGTGAAATGTTTTTGGTTCATCACTCTATTGTGTGTTCAAGCTTGTTTACTGTGACAGATTGTGGGAATGGAATTATATCACATTGTTCTTTGGACAACTCTGTTGTTATATTTGGCTAAACTTCTCTGAATTTTGTTTCTGAAGATCTACTTTATGAATTGTCTTTGAAATGTGTTTGGTTCATCACTCTGTTCTGTGTATTTGTTAAAGGCTGAATAAGGATTGTAATGCATTTTTTGTGTATAGATTTCTCCATGGCATGATATACCATTGACTTTAGGAGATGGAGTTTTCAACTTTATAGTTGAAATACCTAAAGAATCAAAAGCAAAAATGGAGGTTGCTACTGATGAAGATTTCACTCCTATTAAGCAAGACACAAAGAAGGGAAAGCTCAGATATTATCCGTAAGTCGATATCTTTCTTCGAAATATGTCATTTGCTTTGTCTTCGTATATATTCTTGAGGTTTCTGCATCTATTGATGACAAGTTGGCTCATTTTTCGGAGTTACGATTTTTGTTATAGACTGAAATCGATTTATATCCAACGCCACTGGATTAATCCAGGTACAACATAAACTGGAACTATGGGTTGCTTCCACAGACATGGGAAGATCCATCTCTGGCTAACTCCGAAGTTGAAGGAGCTTTCGGAGATAACGATCCAGGTGAATATCTGAGATACTCGTTTTATCTACTGGAATTTGATATCACTTTGGGACAAAAAGAATGTGGAATGTTATCAATTGTATTCTTGGTTTTGCTTTGTAGTTGATGTTGTTGAGATTGGTGAAGCCCAAAGGAAGATAGGTGAGGTACTAAAGATCAAGCCTTTAGCTGCTTTAGCTATGATTGATGAAGGAGAGCTAGACTGGAAGATTGTTGCTATTTCTTTGGATGACCCAAAAGCTCATCTTGTGAATGATGTTGACGATGTTGAGAAACATTTCCCGGTATGAGCTAATCTAATATTAGAAACCAATCCCCCATCAAATCTAAAAAACCAAATTCTCAGGCCTTATATGGATTTTGTTTTTGATTCAGGGTACACTAACAGCGATTAGAGACTGGTTTAGAGACTACAAGATTCCAGATGGAAAACCTGCGAACAGATTCGCTCTTGGAGACAAACCAGTAAACAAAGTAAGTTCCTTTTCAATTTTCTCTTGTTATGATGCTTCATGTTTGGTACCTGAAACTGAGAGGAGCTATACACTTTTGGTTTGTTTTTTTTCTTTATCAGGATTATGCTTTGAAGATCATCCATGAAACAAATGAATCATGGGCTAAACTTGTGAAGAGATCAGTTGATGCTGGAGACCTTTCACTTTTCTAAACAGTTTAAAACATATCTTGCATTGTCCAATTATTATGAGCTCGAATAAATGAACAGACTCAAGAGTCCTACATTCATTCTTGTATTTCTTTGCAATGAGAGATCTGAACATTGAGATTTTTGTTTTTCACCATTGATGAATGAGAAATAATAAAAATGACATTGTTATTAAATTTATGCTTTTGGAAATATTAATTGTGACTTGACATGAAACAGAGCTTTTCTGTTTAAAGTGCAACAACACAAAGTTAGGTTCCTGTTAGTGTTGAGGTATGAGAGAGTTGGATGAAGATTTACGGGCTAGGTTCATGTTAGTCTTGAGTTTATTACTCAAATCCGGTCCAGAAACAAGCTCAAACGAGTAAAACAATCTACTTTACACTTTACACTTGGAGATAATTTCTCTGTATTCACTTCTAAACAAACAAAAAAAAATCATTTTTCATCTGATATAATCTGTTGAACTTTCATTCCGATTCATCAATACAAAGACATCGATTCTTAAGAGCGTTGAATTACTTGGCTCATGTGAAAGCCTTTCTCTTTTTTGGACTTCTTTAAGTTCCATAAGAGTATCACACAAAGCAAATCGAATCGACTTGATAGTAGTTCATACTTTCTGACTAATATATAAAAATATAATAAAGACAGTTTTATTTGTTCTCCGTGCTTTTAGTTAAAACATTTTATATTCTAAAACGGAAGAGTATATAATCATAAATACAATAACAAAGATCGGTTTCTATCACTGGATGCAACAACAACGTTTAGGTT